AATTGTACTTCGTTGAATTTTACGTATTGCTCATTGCCGGTGCCTACGACAATTCGAGTGACTCAGGTCGCCAATCGATGTGGTAGAATCATTCTATCCGCGCTTTTATTCTCAGATGATAGATATAATAAAACAAAAAAGAAATCTATCATTGTCTCCTTATATCTTTCTAAGCCGCGCAGTCGTGGATATTCACATGGATATCAATGAATTGTCAACCGAACAAATCCAAGAGCTCTTGGAACTCACCAAGACGTATCAAACTCCAAGATGAAGAAGATACAGAGTTACCAGAAGCCATATTCCAAGATTTGGAAACCACTTCCAAGACCACCATGGAGAAGAATCTTAAGCGATTCACAAAGGACATCAAGTCGTACACAGGAGGAAAATGGACACAATCAGGTGCCATCAACAAGGAATTCATCCCTGAACTCAAAAAACGGAGCATTGACGTCCATACAGCCATCCAAGCAAGATACAAGGATGCAGACAAGCTTCGACAAGCAGCTCGAGCTGCAACCGAGATCTACGAGGACCTCCAGGCGCATCATCAACAGAGGAGGTGACCCAAGCGATGAAGAGTACTTGGTCAACATCCTTGAAAGATCGAGACGACTTGCCGTCTATGCCTTTGGCAGTGGAAAGACCATTGACGCTGAAACAAAGGAAACTATTCGAAAAACTCTTCGATTACCAACAGCAGTTCGCTACATTGACGTCGAAGAAGACGAAGAAAAAGACTTGGCCTTCTCTCCAAAAGCTGTCAAAGAAATCTTCGATGCAAGGTACCAAGAGTCAATTGAAAGGAAAGCCTCAGGTGGATATAGATCTTATGGATCTCGACAAGGATTCAACAACAACCGAGGCAAGCCTTTCTACAGGGGTGCGAGAAAATCTTTTTTCGGGAGAAACCATCACCATCCTCAGCAGACCCAAGGACTCCAACACCGATCCCGACCAATCCACCAACCAATGAAGAGCCACAACAACCCCACCACCATGTTGGGATACCAATGCCAATGAAGGATGGCCAACATTATCATATTCCAGAGGATGGGATACATCCGGGAGATTGTCAAGGTTGCAACAGCATGGCACAAACACACGTGGCACAAATGGGCACGGACAGTGGTACAAGAAGGCTATCGGTTACAGTTTCACAAGCAACCGATTCCATGGAAAGCTCATCAAATCCAATTGTCACCAGAGGATCAGACCCATGTGGATCAAGCGGTTGCAACTTTTCTCAACTCCAAGGTGATCGAGAGATCACCCACCCAAGACGACAGGTTCCTTTCAAACTTCTTTACGATCAAAGAGCCCAACAAAATTCGTCCCATATTGGATTGCAAACGCATCAACCAATTCATTCAATGCAATCACTTCAAGATGGAAGGGGTTCCAGCCTTGAGGGATTTAATCGAGAAGGACGATTGGATGACGAAATTGGATCTGAAAGACGCTTACGTGGTGGTACCTATTCACGAGGAATCGAGGCGTTATCTTTCCTTCAGGCATCGAGACACAGTGTACCAATACCGGTCTCTACCTTTTGGCTTGAGTGTGGCACCGAAAGGTTTTTTCGAAACTAATGCGTCATGCGGTGGAAGGATTGAGACGACAAGGTATTCGACTTGTATACTATTTGGACGACGTATGTTTACTCACCAAGTCAAAAACAGACATGCACAAGACCATGGCCAAGGTGATTCGTCAATTGTCGGAGCTGGGGTTTATTATCAACTGGAAGAAGAGCTGCCTCACACCTTCACACATACAAGACTACCCAAGGTTCACTTTTCAATACATCAACCATGATGATAAGTGTGCCCAAAGACAAGATGGCCAAGCTTCTTACCAGAATCAAGCAAGCAATGCAAAAAACACGCACATGCCGATGGATCGCAGGGATGTTGGGGAAGATTACCTCGATGATCCCAGCAATAGGCGATGCATTGCTGCACGTCCGATACCTTCAAAGGGATCTTTCGAAGGCACTTCAGATGACGAATCAACATTGGGAAACCTCTTGTCCGTTATCCTTACAAGCCAAAAAAGAGCTGATGTGGTGGCAGAAAATGGCAAGCTGAAGGAATGGTTTACCAATGCAGCAAAGGATATGGAGAATCCTACGGTAACGATTTATACCGATGCATCAGATACTGGTTGGGGGATCACAAGCAACAAAAAGGGAGATCTGTACGGCTTTTGGAACCAACAAGACAAGGGCTTATCAATCAATGCACGAGAATTGAAGACTATCCTATTTGCATGCAAGCAATAGCTCCCAAGAATCCGAACTCCATTTTCCATTTGTACACGGACAATGTGACAGCCCTGAAATACAGCAGCAAGGCTGGAGGTACAGCATCACCAATCCTGCAAGATTTGACCTTTGGACATACACGAGCTTTGCCTCAAATACAATATCCACATCAAGTATCAACATAGCGGGTGTGGAGAACAAGGTGGCCGACAAGTTGAGTCGCATCAAGAAACCAGTGTACGAGTACACTCTTCCTCGCAGATTCTTCAACCACGTGACCAAGGCTTGGGGCAAGATGAAGATCGATGCGTTTGCATCATCAGGCTGCACGCCTACCGAGGTTTTGGAGTTGGCAACCGGACAAGAAAGCTCAAACTATCGATGCGTTCAAACAAGTTTGGCCGAAGAAGGTCTATATCTCCATCCCCCTTGGAGGTTGATTCAACGGTGATACGATACTTACGGCAACAGCGAGTGAAGCAAGCGGTGATGGTGACACCGAATTGGCCAACTCAATGCTGGTGGCCGATGGTGACGGCATTAACAACAACGAGGCCAATGGTGTTTCAAGTCAGACGCAATCTTTCTCTCGTCGCATGGAAATTATCAACAACAAGAGGAAGGCAGATGGGTTAACGGAAAAAGCAGCCATTTATCTTGATAATGCAAAAACGTCGACGTACACACCAACGTTATGATAGCCACTGGAATCGCTGGGAGAAATGGTGCGATGAACAACAACCTCAAGTGGATAGCGTGGTTATGACCCCAAGCAGTTGGTGAACTTTTTGATGGCCCATCGGCACTTGAAACCAAACACCCTCATGGGCATACGTTCGGGTATCGCATCTGTATTCGAGAGAAACACATCCACATCGACCTCCTATTGGCGAGCATCGTTTGGTGGTCTTTTCTCAAAGCGCACAAGGCCGAACACTTGGATTTGAAGAATGGCGATAAGCCCGTTTGGAACATTAGTTTGGTTTTGGACGTGATTCGCACTTGGGGACCGAAAAGCCGATCTTTTATCATTACAACAGCTGCAAGTACGCACAGTGGTATTATTATGTGTGGCAACAATGTGGCGTCCACGATCGGACATTGGTGCTATTCTATTGAAGGACGTAAGGTTTGTGTACAACAATGATGGCTCTTATCATGGTGTCACTCTTTTGGTGCGTTACCCTAAAAGAAGGCAGGCCAAAGACTTCCAAGATTGCACGCGCATGCCAAACAATGATATATGTCCAGTGTTATCGTTGTGGTTGTGGATGGAAAAAACGAAGGGAAAACGTGCACATTTACCTGAAGATCAAAAGCTTTTCCTTTCAAACGTTGAATCAAGCAAGCCACGAAGTGTAAGGGAGAAGCCACAATAGCCACATGGGTACAAGAAGTGATGGAGGCAGCAAACATTGACACCACCACACAAACCCCACTCCATTCGCTCCGCATCATCCACCAAGGCCGTGACACAAGGCTCATCTATTCAAGCGGTCAAAGAACATGCGAATTGGAGTTTGACAAGTACTACTTTTGAGGATTACTATTATCGACCAGTCGACCAGCATGGGCGTAGCCAAGGATTTTAGCCACGGTTTTTGATCGTTCGGAGAATCATACCACATCGATTGGCGACCTGGAGTCACCTCGAATTGTCGTAGGCACGACCGGCAATTCAATGAGTGACGGAAGGGAGCCATGTGGTAAGAAACCACCTCACCCTAACACCCTACCACATCTTCATCAAAAACCTTTCCATTGCGTTTAGAAAGATATAAGGAGACAATGATAGATTTCTTTTTTTGTTTTATTATGATTATCATCTGAGAATAAAAGCGCGGATAGAATGATTCTACCACATCTCATGGCTCCCTTCCGTCACTCATTGAAATGTCGCTACCAGCCAAACTGGATCTGGGGGTCGACCTCTTCGACGACGACGACCAAAAAATATTTTTTGGGCTGTTTGCGACATTGAACGTGAAACTTTCACACAAGGTGCTGTTGGCCAAGCCGAGCCCATTGCTCTAATAAAAACCCCACGTTTCATTGTAAAGTTTGGAGATACAGGCACCTTTATGTTTGTAAGCGTGATGCTATATGAGAAGTGGTCTTTATTCATTGTCAAGTAGGTGGACCCTGGCAGAGCAAAAGATGCAGAAGGACCTCTTTGGGTAACTCAGCTAAAAGTCAGGACTTCAGGGACAATGCATGAACGGTACGCTACCCTCACTTTTATGTCATACATTGGCAGCTAATAGCCACTTTATTGCATTCCCAACTTTTGTGCATTCTATTGTAGGTGGACAATGCTCCTGCTCTAGACATTCATTTCCATGATTAAAGTAGGTTGATCGAGTTGATTTGGTTGAGTTACGCTCACACAAGAATACATCGGTTGAGCTACATCGAGCGTGCTCTATGTCCAGAGTGATGTAATCTCTCGTTGACCGCAGCTCAGTCAAATCAGCTCGGATCAACCTACTTTAATCATGGAAATGAATGTCTAGAGCAGGGGCATCGTTCTCATGCAGTGGATCTCGCAGCAATGATGATTGGATAAAAGTGGCCGTTAGCTAGCAATACATGCCTGTTCCTAGATGATCCATAAAGTAATTATACATTGACCCTTTCATTCATGCAAACGTAGCTGTGTTACACAACACGACCCTCTGCATCTTTGGCTCTGCCAGGATCCACCTACTTGACAATGAACAAAGACCACTCTTCATATAGCATCACGCTTACAAACATAAAGGTGCCTGTATCTCTAAACTTTACAATGAAACGTGGGGTTTTGAATAGAACAATGGGCTCGGCTTGTCCAACAGCACCTTGTGTGAAAGTTTCGCGTTCAATGTCGCAAACAGCCCAAAAAATATTTTTTGGTCGTCGTCGTCGAAGAGGTCGACCCCCAGATCCAGTTTGGCTGGTGGCGACATTGCGAAATCTGGGATTGGCAAGCTTGATCGTGAAACTGGCACCCAAGGTGCAGTTGGCCAAGCCGAGCACATTGCTCTGATAAAAACCGCACGTTTCATTGTAAAGTTCGGAGATACAGGCACCTTTATGTTTATAAGCGTGATGCTATATGAAAAGTGGTCTTTGTTCTTTGTCAATCGGCTTATACCAGAGCCAAAGATGCAGAAAGAACTTGTTTGTGCAATTAAGCCGAGAGGGCGTGACATAGAGGAGTCGATCTTATTGGTGGAGAATGCATAACCGTTCCTGGCCCTATAGTAAGATCGGCCTATGATAGATAGTATGGAAACATGGTATGGTTAACAAGCCAAAAATAAACGGTGCATCTGAGGGTATTTGTGAGAAGGGATGAGAAGGGGAATGAAATCGGTTGTCTCCAGGGCTGGTACTCATAAAAGGCTATACATGCAGCAAGGTATGAAATTTGTCGTAAGCATGCGTATGTGTGTACTCCTTCCACATTGTATAAGAGCTCACTCTTTCTCACATGTTACGATTTAAGCTTTCAATGGATCATACATCTGTAACAATCACTATTGTTGGATACCATTACTATAGGTTTATTATCGTTGAAAATATAAGCGTCAGCGTCTGTTTAAACCTGTGCACTATCCTGAGGATCGCCACCATCTACCATGTATCAGCGTATGAGCAAGGAAGTTTTAACGAATGTATTGTGATAAAAGCAACAAAGGTGTCTCGATGCAATGGTGTAGGTGATCCAATCTCGCTTTCCAACCTTCATATTTGTATCCTTCCTTTCGTTCCGGTAACCAACCAAATGGAGCACATAGAGTCAACTGGTGTCACTGTGTCATTGTATCCTTGGTTGCTGCCGCCAAAAAAAATTTTCATCCATGATTACAAACTAGTTGCTGTACGTGCCTTGACTCCAATATCCAATATCATCCATAGCAAGCCGCCTTTCGTCAAAGGTATAAGCCCTCTCATCCATGCCATCCGATCCATCATCATCCTCAGCTGCATCCACGTAACATGCATGACCCATCCTCCCTGATGACGACGTGCCAAGTAACCAAAACGTCATTTCAGGATCACCTCTCACTGTGCTTGATTCCATCCATCCATAGCCAATGCAAGTCCAACATGTTGATACAAGGAATTCCTGTGATCGCTTGCTGACCTACTTCCTTTCCCATTTGGCTGTTGATCCATCTCTTTCTTGGTCATTTTCATTGCAGCTCAACCAGGCGAAGGTTGCTTGTATTGTGGTGTAATTGATAGCTGATATGGGATCATCCATAAGGATCAGTATGTATTGAAGCAAGTTGCTACACGTAAATAAAGCTGCTGCTATACGATGGCTATCTGCTGTTCACGTAAAAAAGGCTGCAAGGCAGACTGCTGCAAGTAAAGAACGCTGTTGGAGACAATGGAGTAAAGGGCATGTTGATACCAACTGCTGGAATGAATGCTGTTACGGTTGGTCGTGGCAGAGGAGCGTGGAAGAGCGTGTGTTATAGTAGAGTGACAAGAGGGTTGTGTATACGCCATGGACTTGCCATTCAGTCAAAGACAATCGGATCAAGGAAGTTGTAGGGTTGACATGGTGGATTGAGGCAGGACAATCGTTCGCAGGCGGTAGTTGTATGTACTTGAAGCCGAGAATGGGAGGAAGAGACAAGAAGTTGTGGGAGTGGAAGGAGTGGAAGGAGTGGAAATTAAATAGGTTAGACACCTCTCGTATAAATGCATGAACACTGTACATCAATCCTTGATATTGAGATTGCCCCTATCGAACCTGAAACTTTCTCACAAGATGCTCTCGGGGATGCTAATCAACTTTGTATTATAAAAGAACCTATACTTCATTATAAAAATTTGAATGGGAGGGTATAAAGGTAGGAAAGACAATGATGGAAGGATGGGACATTGAATAAGGTACACTGATCCTGAGCTTATCAAAGAGGTAGTTTCTTATTGCGAATGCTGATGGCAAAGGATTGCAGGTTCCTGTAAAGATGAATACTATGAGACTATGAATGTGGCTGCGTAAACGTGTAAGCTTATTGTAAAATCATTACTCCATAGGTATTGTAGCCATTCGACGAGAAATCACAAGTTTGAGAGCGAAGTGAGCAACCTTGGCCGTAGTCATGACTTCCAATGTTTGCTGATGTCGATAAAAGGATGAGCACGAAGGCTCTGCAAAATGACCCGCCATCACACATTGCATTAGCCTGCACATGATTGCATGTCGTTCAATATTTGTTGATCCTACCATTAGTTTGTTTGGGACAAAATATGCATGCTATGCATTTTTGAGACGATGCACCTGTACTTACATGTGCATGTTGTTATGGCTACCGTTCTTACTACCTATGATGCTACCACCTTGACATGTGATAGAAGAATGCAGGCTCATGTAAAGAATTGAAAGCCATGCAAATCAATGCAGCTTGGCAATAGAGCCATTCCTTTAAAAGACCCAACAAAGTGATACTCGATCGACTCCCTTTAAGGCGGTTTATGTAATGCATGAAAGAGAAAAAGGTTTGACAACCCACAGGATAGGAGTGATCAGAAACATGTGCAACCCATGCAGCTCGTACCACTGCGTTGCCACGGCAACGGCCCAAGAAAGGGAAGCAACCATTGTGCACCATTGTAATTTAAAGGGACCTTTTTCGTTTTAGCTTTTTCTTTTTCTTTTTCCTTTGCTTGGTTTATCTATCCCTTCTCTTTTTCTTGTCAAACACATCCATCTTGGGTTTTCATGGCGAGTAGTGTGACAGCTTCATCCTCATCATCCTCCTCTTCATCACATACAACCCTCTCTCAGCTGAGTCAAATACTATCGTTTAACGTAATGTATTGGACTACGTTGCCTGAGCTCTTTGATCCGATCGAAGAGTTCGATGGAGACCCTGCGCGGCTTTATGTGCCACCGCCACCACCAATGCCTTATAGCGATGATGAGGATGATAGCGAAGATGACGGTGATAATGTTGATGATAGGCCATCATGGCCAACATTCCTCGATAAAACCACTACTACTACCAGGTGTGGACAAAAACGAACAAGTCCATTTCAGAAAAAGAATCAGCACGACCAACAACGTTATCGACAATCATCTGCTGTGACACCATACCATAACGTCAGGAAGCGCCGAAAACAGCACGATCATCAGAAACAGAACCAAGTGCGATTTGCTTGTCACAAATGCGGCATGGTCTTTGATCGTTTGTATGACCATCGTCGTCATGTCACCGCTGCGCATGCTCGTTACAACAAGCGAGCAGCTCATCACTCATCCTAATGATGTACCTCGTATCTATACATACCATCTTTAGCTTTTATGCACAAAACTTTACACCATGGATCCATATTATGCTACACCTACTATGGTCATCATTTCTTTGTACAGTATGTCATTACATTTATGATTACAGAAAAGTAAAAACTACCCATTCATCCATCTTCAGTCAACAACGGTGTATATTAATTTGGCAACATGGGGATGATTAAGTACAAGTATGGGCTTTACAAAAAAAAGGAGGGAGCGATGTAAGGGTTGATGTATCTTTTAGCTTGGATTCTTCTGTGGTTGTTGCCGTTTTCTTTGTTGAGGATGATCGGCGGGTTTGAGCGCATATGCAAGTGAGCGGAACACTTCATCATTGATGTAATACGCTTGAAATAATAATTCGAATACATGAAGTCGTTCCTCTAGCCTAGCCATTCGATCACCACGTTCTTCCTCGACACTCCCATCATCATCATCATCCGATAGCTTGGTCTCTTCATCATCGACATCGTATATCTTTTTCAATCGCTGTCTCATTTGCTTTTGATGTTCTCTTTGTACCACCGAAAAGCGACGATGTACAGGATGCACAATGGGTACGTTGGCTCCTTGAGGGAAACGAGATCGTAAACCATGCAACAAAGACCTACGCATTTGTCCAAACGACCAGCGGTGGACTGATGAATGCATAAGGGGATATATGATAAGGAGAGGTGGTGGTAGTGGATCAATACACAATCAATGCATCCCTTGATAAAGATAAACTTACCCCATCCCCAAGGGCTTCTTGGCCTGAACCCAAACAATAAAGCTTGTAATCCCAACAAGAGACCTGAGATACCACCAATGATACCCATGGCATTAAGTAAAGTGAATGCACGTTGCTCTCGTGAAACAGCGATTTCATATCGACTAGGGAACACATTGAATGCACCCATAGGGGCTGGTATGCTGTTATAGTGAGCAGCGGCAGGTTCAGACATGGCTTGGCTTTGAATTTGGTGCATGACACTACGGGATGTGCCAATACCGGAATACTTGTTCCACACGTTATCGCTGATGATCACTTGCCGTTCTGAAAGCTCGTAACTACCTGTGCTCACTGTGTTGGTATCGAGATCAAATGCATTATCGGTACGAAGGTTGGCTTGCTCAGCAGCCTGAAATGCAGCGTTTTCATCCTTGGAATACCAGTTGAACTTTGGTAGGTTGTATGGGTCATGGATATTGTACACTGGCAAATTGGGATCATGGTATTTGTTGTAAAATGTGACATGGATGCGGGATTGGTTGGATGGTAAATGATCACCATAGTAATGAAACTTGAGATAAGAACCACTGCTGCTGCTGCTGCGATCACTGGTGCGACCAAGACGAAAATCAGGCGAAGATCGAAAAAGGAAGCATGTCAGCTGTTCACCATAATAATCAAGGCCTGTGCGGACTGAATCGGTAATGTTGATGATGTATTGTGAGCATGAATCACCAAAGTCGGTAGCGCATCGTAAGAAAGGCATCGTGTTTACTTGATCCGGATACCATCCATCAAAGCAGAATCGTATATCTAATAGCATTGTTTAATTACCTGTAAACATGTGTGAATTGTAGTACACTTACCAGGCACATCAATGGTATAATCCTCTGTGTGACGATAGAACTTTTGATCAATGATAGGGCTGTTACGCACTTGCAGCACAATGATGGCAACAATGGCAACAAAAACACCGAAAAACAATATCCGAAATAAGAGACGAGCCAATTCCGCCCATAATGGTTCACCCGTTCTATATCATCATTCCACGTCAAATCATCTGATGATGCTATATGCATGTGGCTTTGTTGCTTATACCTTGGATGCCAAATCATGCGCTTCATCCCTGCAAGGACACTGCCTTTGGCTTTCCGTCTGCGTCTGTAGAACCAAATACAGCCAAGAAGCAGGATTACACCGAGGCAAATGCCGAGAACCGCCATGCCGGCCTTGAACAACACGCTATGAGAATCACTTGCATCATGCGAAGGTGGATCTTCTGGTAGCCATGCTTCTTTATCAGCATCGAATACGTACAACCCATCATAAATGGTATGGTAATTTAAACCTACAAGCTGCATGTGTTAATAACGTAGTGATCATAAGTAACATCTTATTGCTTACCAAATCCGTAGACCATTTTTGATCCATTCACAACAGATGCAGCTGCAAATGATCGGGGAAAAGGCTGATAAGGTGATGCATCAGGTATGGACCATGTCCACCGCGTGGTGTCGAGTATAGCTGTCATTGCACTTGCGTCTCCTTGTGAGGAAATATAGGTATGGAAGGGCTGCTCCAAGCCATCCTGACCGCCACAAATGATAATACGATCATCTGAAGCTAAAGTGATAGGGCATATTAATAAAGGGGAGATGTGTGTTAATGACTATTACCTACTTGTAACAGCGGTGTGGTACGTGCGTGCATCAGGGATGATAGATCCACCTAATCGTTGGCTGTGCCATGTCCCATGGATTGAATCGTAGATAGCAGCTTCATTCAGGGGGAACAAGCTCTTTGTTGTGATGGGGTTTGTGGTATAATTACCCACACATGCATATCCACCGAGAATCACCATTTGGCCATTGCTACATTTATAGATGAGTTATGGTACTTATTTGGAGAGAATGTATACATTTACCTTAGCATAGTTGCAGTATGGCCACATCGAGTAGGTGGGGTATCTTGTATTGTATTACTACTCAAAGACCGCCATCCATCTGATGTAAAATCGTATGCCCAAAAGTAGTCATTAAGAGGGCCGGTGATGTTCATGCCGCCAAAGATGTAAGCCGTATTGCCGTGTAATGCCGTTGAGTGCCAATAGCGTTCCAAAGGTTGAGGAGTGGTTGAGTTTACTTTTTGGAGTGGTGACCATGCAAGTGATGCCATATCAAGCACGTAATAACGCATCGGTTCGGGTGGCAACGCAGGATCCACTTTTTCGGGATGATGACCACCAAACGTGTACAATAGTTGATTGTTGAGAGGAGAGGTAACAAGGCTGCCATGAATGAGGGCGGGTGAAGCGTAAGGGTCAGTGGCAAGCTGAGTGAATTGGCTCGTGCTGACGGTATTTGGAATCGACCACATTGCCTCCATATTCCAAGGTGGGACAGCATAGTATCCGCCATAAAAATAAACCCTGTCATTGAGTGAAAGTGCTGATAATCCATAAATCGGCCTGTCGGTAGACCGTAGTTCTTGGCCAGCAAACATGGATCATGAAAGAGAAAAAAGGGGGAAAGAGAGAAGAAAAAGAAAAAAAGAGTTGGGGAAGAGAAGAAAAGAAAGACACTAGGAAGGAGGGCCCAAAAACAACTTTCTCGATGTGTCATTGATGATGCTTGATGACGGGATCCAGTATGGCAATACAAGGGGGTGAGGTGACAGAAAGAAAAAAGAGTGCATCCATCATCATTCGTATGAGTTGTTGTTGGGTGGGTGGTCATGTATGTATGTATGTATGTATCCAAGGGACAATAAATGGCTGGTGCACGGCAACAATCTCGGTAGATCCTTTCCACGTTATCCAAGCTTCACCGTTACAACACAAGAGCTGGCATAAGATTATCCTTGCTTGATAATTGAGAATACACAAAAGCATGGGAAAGAAAGGAGGAGATGTACTAAAGAAAAAAGTCAAAATTCAACTCCTTTATCAACGTATCTCCCTGCAGATGAGTTTGGATGAACCATATATACACACACACACAAAGATACATACATATACGCGTATCATGGGAGCGTCATTGTTTTTATTGTTGACGAGAGATTGATGTTGAAGATTGAATGGTCGTATGGGAGTGGAAATGTAACAAAGATAAAGTGTAGTAGTTGAGAATGCACCACTTCAAGAAGACTCGTCAGACGACGATTCACCATCCTCATCCGAAGAACCAGAGGAAGACGATCCCTCGTCTTCTCTTCCGTTTTGAGAAGGACAATCACGGGCGATATGGCCTTGTTCATGGCATCTGTAGCACACCTTGCTGTTGTCGGTATTGCTGTGGCAGTCTCTAGCCATGTGACCAAACTTTCCACAATTGTAGCACTTTACGCTCTTGTTGGCCTGGCAATCGCGGGCAAAATGGTTGGGTCCACCACAATTGTAACAAACAACGCGACTCGTCATGCCATTCATTGCACCTCCACGTCCACCACCACCTCGTCGTCCACCACGAAAACCACCACGTCGAGGTCTTGAACGACAATAACGTGCCATATGACCTACACGTCCACAGTTGTAGCAACGGGGGCCTTCACCATAGTTTGTGCTGGTGGTTGCTATAGCGTTGCTATCGTCATTGTTTTCATCGTTGCTGGTGGTGGTGGTAGTAGTGTTGTTGGTAGTAGTAGTGTTGCCAGTGTTACGCACGTTGGAAGGACAATCAGCTTGGATATGGCCCACTACAACAACGTTGACCTTTTAGTATGAGAAACAAAAATGCAATAAAGACACACACATACCACCACCACAAGAATAACACTGCTTGGCTTCAGAGCTCTTTGGACGAGGGCATTGGTTCGACTCGTGTCCAGGCTGCTTACAGTTGTAGCAGAGACGCTCAGGTTCAGGGCACACGTCAGCAAAGTGACCCACTATTCCCATGGGGGATGGGTGTGAGTAACCGTCATTTGACCACAAGGAAGGCGGACATGCTTACCATTGCCGCACTTGAAACAGCTCTTGCGAAATGCCATGCTCTCGATCTACTAGAAACAGGTCTTCAGTTACAATGGGGCTCTGGAGAATGTGCTTGCATGCATGGGGAGAAGAAAAGAAGCCTTACGGGATCTGTCGATCGTGTGTGTGCAAGAGTAAAATAAAAACCCAAGTGTTTTTTTTTTCTTCAGCAGCTTTAAATTTATACAGCCTGCATCTCTCTAAGTCTACAAAGAATGTCTACGTCTTTTGTACGCGCGAGATGAGAAATGCCACTTGCTCTGCCACTTCTGATAGTCGTGTTTCTTGTTCTGCTCCACCACCAAAATGGCCCCTGTCGAGATCCACCTTGAGAAGTACCGATGATGATGATGATGATGGAAGCGTGTCGCGTAGTTTGGCGACCAATTTCAAAGGCTGCCAATAGGCTACTCGTTGGTCTTTCATGCCAGCTGTTACATAGGTCGCAGGTACGCTTGGTCCTTGAACATTGTCGTATGGAGAATAACTTTGGATGAGATCATAAGCACTAGCGTCGTCGGTTGGATTGCCCCATTCTGGATATTCCACTTGTGTCAACGGCAACTCAGGATTCAGCATGGATGAAAGAGGATCCACAAAAGGAACACGTAACACCAAAGCTTTGAATAGATCTATAGTCCCACTCAAACATTAATAAATGCTATTCATAAAAGTGATCAAACACATACCTGGTCTTAGATGAAGCATGGCACCTAAAGTGAAATCCATAGATCAATATCATTGTTGTATGTGATGAGCATGTATCTCGCTTACCAACAAGAAGGCCACCTGCACTTGTTCCTATGGCAGATAGATACTCTGGGCTTGTCACTTTGCTCTTAACCAAATGCTCCGCAACCGATATGAAATCATGAAAGCTATTCATCTTGTGTTCAAGCTTGCCATGCTCGTACCATTGGCGACCCAGCTCGCTCCCACCTCTTCAATCCCGTAAATGTTAGCTTGATGAATTCCCATTTTGATCATGATACTCACCGCACATGAGCAAGGGCAATCACCCAGCCACGTTCTAGCAATGGAAAATTCTCAATCCTAAACTGTGGTTCGGTTGAAACGCCATAAGCACCATATCCTCGCATAAGAACAGGGTTTCTAACAACACTATATGAGAAGCCTGCCGCGAGCACACATGCAAGAAATACTCACCTCCCATGTAATTCCATATCCTTTCGGTGGATCAAGGTGATAGGAACTTTGGTGCCATCATGCGATGTCGAATAAACTCGCGTACATGCATATTTGGATCTATCAAACCCTTTAGCCAAAATGAGTTAGCTAGTATCATGGCTCAAAGTATAGCGTAAAATTGCACCTACGATGGATGGGTTGAACGCGTATAGGTGTCAGGCGCCTGGAGGACATGTCATAGTCATAGGTAGATTCGTGTGCAAATGGGGAATGGATCGAGAATCGAAACTTCTCAGTGTCAAAATCCTAATCATGTGGTCTAAGTGATTCATGATGAAGAAATAAAAGAATCCAATGCAAAACTCTCACCAAGTTTGTTCCTGGTTGCAACACACAAAAGCGTTCTGGAAGCTCCACTGGATATGTCTCTTGAGTTGACAGGTCGTGACATAAGATCATTGGTAATCCATCGCGTCGTCCATAAATCACAAGATGATTCTTTATACAAGGCACACTCCCAACATCAGCCAATGATTCATGTCCAATACAACAATGCCCCTACCTGAAACACATCCACATCTTCAATCTTTTCGTTTTCAGCCATTGTAATCACGTCTTGCCAGTGCTCCCTTCCAGTCATATTATCGGGCATGCGTGCTAACTTGAAGTTGGTGGCACCATCCGCATTCGTTAAAATGTAAAATGTGTCCTAAAAGAAGGGAAAAGGTTAGCAACGAATAATCACTGGTGGAAAGGTAATCCTTACATCGTGGTGATCCACATAATATTCGATATCTTTTTCACGTGGTTGAACAAGTTGGATACGAGGTTGAGTGGATGTCGCATAATCATGGGTTGCATCAACCACCCGGATCTCTGAAGATGAAAGAGAATTGCTGTTGATGGTAACGTATTTCTATATATCGCAAATGACATGAGCGATCATCCTATCTTCATGATCCTCCTCTATCCTTCTTACCATGTCCTTGGTACTTGTGATATCAACAAATACGGTATCATCCATCTCCTCGTATATGAGCACGTCGTCTTCTTGAGCTGTACCAATCCGATGGGCATACACCTGTATATGGGTAAATACCAATTGCGAGTTGCTTGCATCCTCCTCGTTATACATACTCTGTAAGGTCTCAGTTGTTCATTTGGCACGGTATAGTAGACGGTTTCATTGTTGGCCCAAACAAAGTTGAAGACGTCATGAAGGATTTCATTCTAAATGCAAAAGCATGTGGGTGTTATTCTTTTTTTGGATGTGCTCAGATCAACCAAAACAACCATCATTGTTACCTTTTCTCCCTGTGCCTCCTTGTGTAAATCCTTCAAATGCAAGTCGCCATACTCCATCCCTTCAGTCTCGGTGTTGTAGGCGAAAATGTTATGGTCAGGCGATAAAAGCACTTTACGGATCGACATGTTGAGTGACCTTAGGAACCCAGCGTTTAGGAGCACTTCCTAATGATAATGGTAATGGTGGCTCTTTAGAGCACGAACAAGGAGAAGGGGTGATGATGATGATGTCTCTTTTACCTCTTTGCTCTCTCCCAGTTTCTTGCGGAGATAGACCATGCCATAAGGTGATGTCCTTGAATAATATTCGTATCCATGCGCCACGGTGGATAATGGTGCCTGCATACGGGGCACATGTAACCGCTTTTTCATCTCCTAAAGGTTGTTTTAATTTGGCGTGCCACACAAACACACACCCACACACACATACCACCCCTTACACTGAGAACGGCTCTTTTCAGGAACGCGGCCTTACTCATCGACTGCTTTGTAAATCTAAATCCAAAAAAAGTATCAGCATTGTCATTGTTTAATCACATCCTCGGTCGCAATAATACTTGCTCATTCTCTGCTTGAATGTAACCAACGAGATCCTATGATTGATATGAGCCAACGTGGTAATAGGTGTAATTCAATATGAGTTTATTTACAGGGTGATCCAGCTGTTCCATCCATGAAAAGTTGTCTATCCTCTTTTTGCCGTGATGTAATTGAATGTCTGGTACTTTGACAGGTGTAGGTGGAGTGGCTGGTGCTCTACACGTGTTGCATGTTGATACGTCGTTATGTTGAACAATAAGTGTATTAAGCTGACCTGTTGACGATACGCTTCAAGGAAGCGAGCATACTGTAAGGCGCTCGTCGCTGAAGTCGTCTTCCATGAAACCATGTTGAGTGATCGCTGTCAGAGAATGGATCGTACAATGTGCTTACACGACGTGTTTGGTGTGAATGGCGACATGGAGTCGAATGGCTGTTGACATTGGTGGAGGAGGTGGAGGAGGAGTAAAAACAAAGGACGAAAAGAGAGGTCCGGAATTCCAAAGGTGTATCATGCTGTCAAGTGTATCGTGTCACTCGAGTTCTGCACACAAACACACAACCCGTCATCTATGCTTGAAGCCCGAATAAGCGGTTCTCTCACACAATAATAGTCATCCTTGCTGTCCCGGGTTGCTTGACATGCCACACACACACACACACTTCTACGGCCCGAGTAGGACCCGACACGGATATGCAACATCACCTCGGAGAGCTAGTTTTAGCACATCTCAATTAATCAATGACGTCTAATCACATAAAACACGGATGGCATTCGGTGCAAAAAGATATTGTGGGAATTGTATATACTAGCTGAGCCATTGTGTACGTATAAAAAGCAATCTGCAGCTGGCAATGCATCATCATCGCCTTTTTGTAAGACACAGAATTCCCATTCCAGGTTATCAGCAGAGCTGCTACGAATGTGGATGCACCCCGTACTTTTGGAGTGATCGTGGGACATGAGGCATTCATTATAAAAGACCATTTTTATTCCTGGAACACCCCTCTTTTCTTCCTCTTTCTCACTCACTCACTCTCTCTCTTTTGTAATCTACCCCGTTTCGATCAATCCATAAAAAGCAATAGCAAGGATACTCTATCATGCATCCTGCATTAATTGTTCTTATCATTGTTGGTGTTCCATTAGGCGGCTGGGCTGCTTATGAAGGTGCTCAATACATACATGAATGGTGGAAAACGAGACAAGAGCGCAAGGACTATGAGGAGTTTGTGCGTAGTCATTATATGAATGAAAAGAACAACGGCTATTTTTCCGATGACAACGACCACCTGCTCCATACAGATGACGAAGATGACGAAGATGATGAAAAGCCATTAGCACGCACTAGTAGCAATGTCTGGGGAAGAAGAGGAAATGATTTACGAAACCGACGCCAAGGGGTATGTGTTGTACATAAGCAGCTTTATGATGAAAATTGATGAAAAGGGACTTAATTTCTATTCATCATGCAATAGGGCTGGGAACATTACAAGATGAGCGAGACAGAGCTTGTTGAAATGGAAAAGAGTATTGAGCAAAGACGAATGTATCTTGAACAAGAACGCGCAATGCTTGACAAGGCGGAAACAGATTTGCAACGCCAACGTCAATCGATTCAATCCAGGGGAAACAGTCTTATGGGAATGCCTTGCAATGATAGCCACTCTACAACCGATACCACCACTAACAGTGTCGAATCATCATCCCTCATGACTCAAGTCCCTGATCAACAACAACAACAACAGCATTGGAATTTCGCCCATCCACCTCCACCACCTTCTCCTCCTCAAGGTACACCCGTCAAACTTGATATGGAAGAATCCGACTTTGCCATGTTGAGGTCTCACACTATGATTCACGATGCTGATGATGAAGATGAGGAAGATGATAAATTGCGTATGCCATCAGCACCCATGCATGCTCGAAACGAGTCTGATGAAAGTAGCTGGGCTGATGTATCTTCTGATCATCATCATAGAGAGCAAAGTGATGCCTCGGATCTCAGTTTCAATTCAATCAAGACATCATCCGGTCATAAGTCTGATAGCTCATTTGGTGTTCGTAGTATCTCATCCGATGAAGGGTTATTATAAATCCCGAGCGAGAGAGAGAACAAAAAAGTATTCATTTGTATTCCCTTTTATTGCTTTTTATATTTGGCCAAAAACTCTTCTTTGAATGGTGAATTCTTGGGGAGAATAATAAAGCTGGGCACACCATTGGTCACGACATATTGATCGAGTGATAGGATTTTGCCAAGTGGTAACTTTTTGCCGATCTTGATGATGCCCGTATTCAACTTTTGGTTGTTTTCAAAATAGACTTCCAAATTATCTGGCGTGTATTCTCCACGTTCATCCCAAGGTGCTCGTTGTTCAAACATGATCTCCAAATGATCCAAGAAAGTATGGGTCTCGTTGAAAGACTGGATATAATCACTCTCTTTATACTCGGGGTATAAAAAGAACACTGGCCAAGATAACGTGTTGGTCTCTGGATCCAATTGAATGTTGGCTTTTTCACGAACTTCCTTATCCGTAATCTCAAACTTGATTTTGCGATCCTGTCATGCATTGAAATCATCAGCTTTCCATCCTTCTTGTGATTCCTCGCCCTCCTCCTCCTCCTGTTTTTACCTTGAAGGCCTGCTCCAATCGCTGCTTCTCTTCTTTTTCCTTACGTTCCTTTTCTTCCTTTTGTCGCTGCTTGGCTTCGATTTGTTCTTTACGGGCGATGCACTTTTTCTGGATAGCCTTGACGGGTTCATTGTCAGGATCCACAGCCAAAGCATGCACGCAACAATCATGAGCTTCATCCACACGATCCAATACAAGTAAAGCACGTGCTGACCGATACAATGCTTTAGTGTGTTGAGGATTCAATTCCAGACATTTGGCACAATCACGTAACACTCGACCGTAGTTGCCTGTTGATAACGTAAGTATACCCCATTTTCATGCATCATCCCCCCTCTTTTCCCTTACCTAGTTCCAAATTGACAGCAGCACGATTGGCCAAGCAAGCTTCATTGATCTTTTGATCCTTGCAGTCGATATCCAAAGCTCTCGTATAGTAATCAATGGCATCCTTGTACTTGAGCTTGCCTTCCTTGAAACACTCGTTTCCCTGGTTCTTGAAGTTTTCAGCAATCTCTATAATAAAAACACGTGAGTTCCTCGTTCTCTATCATGATATACATTCTATCCTTTCTCCTTACCTTCAGGTGGACCATCATAGACGAGGGATTGTAAGGCTTCAAGCGTATCATTCTCTTCTTCGGGAAGGTGTGACATGAACAAAGGAACCTTGGCCAATTCCTCATCGAGATTGTCAGGATCCATATAATACTGGGATCGTTTTGGCTGGGGTCCGGCGGCTGACATGGTTGCAAAGTGCGTGTCTCCAATGGGAATCGTGTGTCGGATACAAGTTGTTGCAAGAAGAGTTTCAAGCCACTGAGCGTTTCATGCTTTCCCGAATGATCTGAGCGCTTCCGAAAGTGGCAATGATTTATCATCATCTCTCACCCCATGCATGATTTCATCCTCCTCCTCAAAAGTTGGCTATTTTCATTGTAAAGCAAGCATGACAGCGGTAGCATGATTACGTGGCTATTCCTATCTCGGATCTTCTACTACATAGGTTCTCACTCTAAAGTGGCAGCAAGGATGAACAACGAATATCATTGAATGTTGTTGTTGTTGTTATTCCCCATTAAAGCATTTTGATGTATCAAATCCAATATTCAAATACAAAGAAAAAGAGTCTTCATTGTCAATGATTATTGAGTTGCATAATAAAAGCTAGTGGATGGACCACTCAAGGATTTTTAAGACGCCTTGGTCTCCGCACAAACACGTGTAACATCACTTCCTTTCTTCTTTTTGACAAACACTCATGCTACCTCGACCACGACCCAGTGTTGTCACTCGTCGACTTTTCCCTGTGGTAACAAGACGTGTTACTCAACCACCTATTCATATTCGTCCTGCTCTTGCCTATTCATACTCGTCCTTGCGTCGTCCACGTCAACAAGGTAATACCGCAGCAGCAGCAGCCTCATTGACATTTGCGTCTCGACATGGACTCCATTGACACATTGGGTTTCTAGGACCTCGTGGCCGTATCTTGAATCATGTTGATCAGCTTCGACCCGCCACACAACGACCTACAGAAGTCATTACAGAGCAAAGTGATATGCCTTTCGCGCAGGATCCTGTGCATACACCAGTAGAAATCCCTACTCAACCAGGCGCTGTCATTACACCCGATTATCATGGTGCTCCCGTCCTATCCCAGTCTGCACTTGTGGTTGGTCGTGAATTCGAGATGTTGAACATCTTTTTGGTAAGAAAAAGTAAATGACAAAGTGATGATGATGATATGAGATGAGACTAAACAATGACATCAACAAGGGTTATGAACAAGCCAATCGATACAAGATCATGGATCCCAATGGCACCTATCTTGGTTACATCTTGGAGGAAGAAGGTTTTGCCAAATCCGTGGGTCGCCAATTTTTAGGCACTCATCGACGCATGAATGCTACCATCCTTAATGTACAAGGCGAAGTGGTTTTTAAGGTACACACATTGGCTTTTGGGTCATTCCTCCTATCACTCAACAGAGAAAATCATAGATTGTGAGACCTTTTTCATTCATCAACAGCCGCATTTACATATATACAGCCGATGATCGATTGGTGGGTGAAGTACAGCAACGATGGCATCTCTTACGTCGACGCTATGATTTGTTTGTTGGGTATGTATCATCATAGCCTATGCGATGGTTTATTCCTTTTCTCACATGATGTCCTAGCAATACCCAATTCTCCTACATCGATACACCCTTCCTAGGCTGGGATTTCAACTTGCAAGATGCTGAAGGACAACCACTGGGTAATGTCAGCCGAAACTTTATGGGCTTTGCTAGAGAGGTAAGAAAATCTTCATCCATCATCACATGATATACATGCTTACATGGTTATTGTTGTATACAGATCTTCACGGATACCGGCAACTATGTTCTTCGGATGGACGCTGTCGAGAATAATGCTAGAGGAATGACATTGGATGAACGTGCAGTAACGTTGGCATGTGCGGTGTCTATTGACTTTGACTACTTTTCACGTCATTCGCATGCTGGGTAAGGAGGAGAGAGTGGTACGATACGAATTGATCATGGATGCTCATTCATTATATATAGTAGCGGTGGTATTATGCCATTCCCATTCTTTGGTTTCGGTGGATCTGGAGAACAGCCAGCTGATCAAGGTGGTGATAATACTCCTTCCTCTACCCCACCTCCTCCAAATGATTCTTCTTATCCTCCTCCTCCTCAACAACAAGTTCCTCCATCACAATATGGCCAAGGAGAAGATGGTTGGTTAACCGATGAAGAAGCAGGTGTCAGCAGTCCCGCAGATACGGATATTTGGAGTGCATTTTTCGGCGATGATGAATAGAATGTGTAATAGAAGCTACTTTGATATCATTGTCTGTTTTTATGCAGCCATGTACTTCTGCTATAAACAAGGTTCAACATTGAACGGCCATTTAGTTAAAAGTGAGTGCTACTACTCTACTACTGTTATGTAATGCAACTCCCAGTCGCACAATGACTGTGGGAAACCACCTGAGCCTTGAGATCCGATTAAAGGTGTTGGGTTGACATTTAAGCTCTTCTTTATTCCCCTTACCATGTTCCGTCTCGCGCGTCGTTGTTTCAGCAGCTTGCCCTCTGCACGCCAATTCACCATTACTCCCGAGATTCAAAAAGCTCTTGCTGCCAATGGACCTGTAGTGGCACTGGAATCCACCATTATCAGTCATGGTACGCATTGAAAGACCACCATTCACAAGGCACACGTAAAGACTCACATACACCAGGAATGCCGTACCCACAAAACGTTGAGACTGCACGTGCAGTGCAAGATATTGTAAGAGACAACGGTGCCATCCCTGCTACTATTGCTATCTTGAAGGGGCGTGTACATATTGGTAAGGGAGGGTCATATTGGTTTATCTTACGCTTTTTATTATTGACGCATGGCATGGGATCAGGTTTGGACGATGATACCCTTGAAACGCTTGGCAAGCTTGGTGCTGAAGCACAAAAGACTTCACGACGTGATTTGGCATCCGTGGTTGCTCAGGTACATGGATACAAGAGTTGCTATGGCGACATCTCATTTAGGGTTGGTAGGGAAAATCGGGTGCAACAACGGTGGCAAGTACCATGATTCTCGCTCGCGCTGCTGGTATTCCTGTTTTTGTCACTGGTGGCATTGGTGGTGTTCATCGAGGAGCAGAGAGATGTACGTATGAAAAGTATTCGTTTTCTCCATGGATTTTAACATGTCTTGGTAGCCATGGATATCAGTGCTGATCTAATGGAATTGGGTCGTACCCCAGTGGCTGTTGTTTGTGCCGGTGTCAAGAGCATTTTGGATATTGAAAAGACCCTTGAAGTGCTGGTAATGCTCTCTTTTATCATCATTGGTGAGCTACATTGCTTATCGAATGCCTTAGGAAACTCAAGGTGTATCCGTGCACACTATGGGTGAATCACAACAATTCCCTGCCTTCTATACACCCTATAGCGGCTTCAATGTAAGGACCTGGAAATCACTTAACGATATACCCGTAGCTAATGGACATGTACTAGAGCCCTGGCCGTATCGCAACTGAAAAAGAAGCTGCCAATGTTATCTGTAAGCGATGAATTTGTTGTATCATCTTTGTTTGCTAACTCGCACATATAGTGGCCAACCACAACCTCGAATTGAACAGCGGCATGGTCTTTGCTGTGCCTATTCCAAAGGATGATGCAGCCGATGCACAAGGTATTCAAGATGCTATTCAATCCGCCATTGCCGAAGCTAGGTGAGTTGCCAATGGAGATGTACACGTTGCATGTATATTTACTTTGGGATCGATGATCAAATTCAGGGCTCAAAGCGTTCATGGAAAGGATGAGACGCCATTTTTATTGAAGCGAATTACCGAACTCACCAAAGGACAATCATTGGCTGCTAGTATGTATCCCATTACGTGGAAAAGCTTATGTATGCGTTTACTTATATATGCGTTATCCAAAAAGATATCGCCTTGGTCAAGAACAATGCTCAAGTCGGTGCCAGAATTGCTGTCGAATTGTCCAAGCTTAAATCAGCATGAACATGTATTATATGTTAGGATCACAATTAGTAACAACGCAGCAACTCCTATTTGCTTGGCTTATAGTATGGATTAAAATAATGGGTCAACATGGTCAATGATGCATGAATGAGATGTTTTTTGTGTGTGCGTCTATCGTACGTGAATCAAAACCCAGGAACTTATCAGCTCATGCTTCCAAAGCAGGGACAAAGGGGATCGTTCTGCCATTGATGATGCAAGCCCTGCATCATGATGGTATTCATAATTCATATCAATCTATGCACACACGGGGCCACATGCCAGCTCATTTCCAATTGAACTTGCATGCAGAAAGAAAAAAAAAGTCATTCGGCATAACGAAAAGCTTTTTTTCGCTTTCTTTTAACGTCTCATGATGATCCAAAGTGACTTTTTGCAAGATGTTGTCCCATTTCAGGTATAGTGCCTTTCATTTTTATGCCCGCATACATGCTAATAAACTTGGCCCCCTCCCTATCATGCCTACATTGATTGTTTGCATCGTCCTCACGTTAGCTGGTGCCACTTGATCCAATTCAGTGGTAGACTCGTCATCATGTTTGTTAGTTTTCAAAGAGAATGTCATGCCAAAGTGGCAGAGCACAAGAATGCAGGATGGGTTGTTTATATAGTTCCAATAAACTGGAAGAAGGTGGCTGTGGTGGTGGTGGTGGTGGTGCAAGATGAGACAATGTCGGCAGGATACTACGTGAAGGCATATACAAAACAAAAGGGATCGCCGCATGGTTTCCTCGTGGTGCATGATTTTGAATGGGAAGAGGGGGGATCCAATCGAGTGGAACAAGCTTTGTTCTCTTTTTTCGTCCAAGATGACACCGCTCATCGCTTATAGGTGCATGGATTTGATGAGGTGCTCTCGCTCAATTCGTGATTAAAGCAAATGCATGTTGGACAAACGATTGCTGTGTAACCTTCATATGTTGCAACAAACAAGGGCGTTTTGCCACCACGTTCATGCATGTTGGCACAGGCCGTAGAAATGCTTTGACCACAAAAGCATCCATCGTGAATCAAGAGGGCTAATAAAAGAGAAGAAACAAGGTCCTTCTAAACATAGGTTTTAGTGTAAAAAAGTGAGACATATACTTCGCCTTTACATACATGTATGGGATAGTAAGTGATGTGTCCATCTTGTCTGCATAGCGGGGACTAAATGAATCGAGTCGCCGAGCTCCGGGATATTACGTACTTTGTTCAGCGGTCTTGATTATTTCCGCGCATGGGGGAGTATGATGATGATGATGATAGCAAGTAATGGATCGATGTTTTGATTGTTGCCATGGAAGCAGTAATTATGGCAACGATAAAAAAAAGTGAGGAGAAAAGGTAATAATTAGCATGGATGAAGCGATGCAACACATGTCCCACGACGGCTGTGGTGGCGATGCATAATGGAGGACAAGTGTTTGCATGACTCAGCATAGCATTGGATGAGCAAGACAACACAAAGAGAGATGCTCCTCCCTAAGCCCCTCTCTCACTCACACACCACCACCATTGGCGGGAATGAGGGATGTAAAAAGGGATAATGAATATGGTATGGGACATGAGGATATGATGTTGATGATGATGATGATGTCTCAAAGCTTCCCTTGAATCAATGTCGTCGGGTGTCGCATGGTGTTAAAAACTTTTTCAAGCAACAAAGCAAAATTTTCGCTTGGTTCCTGGTTGCGTTTCCGCCCTCGTTCATCTTTACTTTTACATTCTCCCCTCTCTTCCTTCTTGTTTGTGCTCTCTCCGTTCTTACTTTTTCCACCACCTCCACCACCTCCTCCTCCCGCTTACTATAAAAACTACAATGGACGTTCAAGGGTACATGCCACATCGCTCTGATGATCCCCACCAACAACAAGTGCTCCATTATGCACAAGTCAACTTGACACCAGAAGACACTCCAAAAACCCATTCACTGCCTCCATTGACCAGCATTCCAGCCCACGTTTCCAATGACCAGGATTGTGCCGACTCAGTTACAAGTGATGGACCCCCATCAGGTTCTTATGCATCATCTTTGCCAGTCAAGGCGGAAGACAACCCGATTCCTGCGATTCCAGCAAGTGTGTTTGACAAGCGCAAGAGTAGCCCTGCTGTATTGGGTCTTCCCCTTGGATTGAATGATGAAGCACAAGCACAGTTAAGCTTACATCTTTCACAACAACGCAACTCGATCGAGGCAGCTATGCTCTTGGCTAATTTCAATCGACTGCCACCCTCTGAACCTGCTACAACAACAACAACAACAACTGCCCAATCCAATCCCTCCACTGAGGATGATGAAGGTGAGTTGACTAAAATTAAAGCTTCATTTATGCGCATGAAATTGCTCACATCCACAACACTCTTTTAGATCACAACAACAAGTCTTGGCCTGACGACAATGAGAATTACTCAGTAACTTCCAATACTGCTTCGGACAACAACAACAACAACAACAACGCTGTTGCCACGACGACGACGACGACGACGACCCCAAAGCAACGTCGTCATTCTTACGATGTCAACATGTCATGGGCCACCATGTCTCCTTCTTTTCTGGAACGCTCTTCTTTTTATCATGGTATTGCTACAACATCCACATCGGCTACATCATCTTCAGCCTCATCATTAAGACATCAACCAGGTAGCCATGCTACCAACGGAGTAAGAATGACTTGGGTACATGGCGGAGCACATCCATCGCATGGTAGTAAGGAGTTTGATCCATTGCTGCGACGGGCCGCTACACCCGAAGATTTACGTCTCGCCTATGGAGCTCACGTGTCCTTGCCGCCTGCATCTTCTTTCACAAGTAGTAGCAGTAGCACAGCACCTTTATCATCTGAACATCCAATGCTGCATCCTTTGGCACGATCCGTTTCCGATATGACTGGACGCAAACGTGACCCTATGGGTGAACAACAACCCCTTCAGCCACCACCACCACCACCTCCACATCAAGCAGCATCAGCATCAGCAGCAGCACCACATCCTCATGCAGCACCACCTCATCATCATCCTTACTATAATCAACACTATCCACCACCCTATTCATCAGCAGGAGGTTTACCACCAATGCACCACCATCACCATCCATCATCAACATCAGCATCAGCATCTAATCAAGCATCACCTTATTACTATCAACATCCACCACCTCCTCATCCACCTCCAGCACATCCTCATCATCAACTTCCACATGGAGGAAAATTACCCCTACCAGTACCAATGGAGGGTATGCTTACAACACGCATCCCTGGTCCCTATGATCGCCTGGGTGGTCCTATTGCCGTGCCTCGTCTACCCAATAGGAGGAAAAAAGCACGAGTGGAAGCGGATGAGGATGATATGGCCAATGCTGTTGAACCTGGTGATCCTGATTTCCCTGACATGTCACTTAAGGATATCGAAGCTGCCCGTGTTGACCCTGAAGCACGCCCTCGTCGTCAAAAACTTCGTTATGCAGGTGATAAGTATACTCCACAATGGGTACGCTACAATGGTCAAGCAAAGGAGGGTCTTTGTGATACATGCACACCAGGCAAATGGCTTCAATTGAAGAACAGTGCATTCTGGTAAGATTGAAGGAGGATGGTTAGGAGGAGGAGGATGCTAGGAATACTCACCCGATGAAAAGGTATCACAAGCAATTCTTCCATGGCATTTCATCTGTATCAGGCAAGGAATTTATGCAACCCCTAGAAACACGTTGGGTGGATCAAGATCTCGTGGAAGGTCTTTGTCATCAATGCCATCAATGGGTCTCTGTCAGCAACGTGAAACGAAAGAACAGTGTCCTCTGGTATCGGCATGCTCACAAGGTAGGTTACACTCTCATCTGATTCATATCATCACTCATTCATCCTTTGCCATTTAGTGCCATGTTTATCACAAACCAAAACCTAATGCACCAAAACGACGTTGAACAACCAAAAGCCATTCAATCAATCAATCAATCCCATGTTCCATTAATCCTACCTCTCAGCAGCAAAATCGACCATTTCATCCTATTCAACACACTCACACACAATGATCCAAAAAGAAAAAACCACTCGCAACCCACATCCAACATCGCACATCAGGAACATGCTTCTTTCTCTTTATCGCTTTGCATTGTGCAGGCATCTTCTTCTCTCCCTCTCTCTTTCCTTTCTGTTTGTGTATATATTTAAATTGCTTCATGTAAATGGCATTTTTTTACCTTTCTTTCTTCCTTTTGAAAACCAACATAAAAAACTAGTAAGTAGTAGTGCCTTCCTATCCAATTTCCCCCCACCACACAGTATGCAAATATACATCTATCTCGAATACTTAATCATGGACACAGCTGGTGGATCTTGAGAGAGAGAGATGGCACTAAACGACTCGTTAATGCAAAACGCACATGAGTTGCTCCTTTATCGGTGGATGATCGATCACTTTTCCTTTTACAACAATTCTCCTTTGCCAAATGGAGCAAATTGGTCAATCGCACAAACACACATACACACAACAGCGGGAAAATTGCCTATGCTGCCAAGGTTGGTTATGTACCTGGTGATGATGATGGGGGATGATACATTTCTCACATGCAACAAGATGAACAATAACAAGACCTTCCCACCAACCAACACCCACTCACCCACCCCCCAAATAAACAACCCCGAGGTACGACGTGTTGGGTTGTATTTCGGATGACGGGTCATATCCCTAATTCTCGGATCTACAAACTTTTTTGTTCCAGGCTTTTTACACCTCCGGGAGTGATCGACGACACCACACGAAAAGCACATGTCAACAACATAGAGCATTTATTGATTTCAACAATGGATGATAACATGCATGTGAATAACACCAGCAAGCAGATAGCAATCATAAAAGTAGTAGTAGGAGAGAAATAGTGTTATTGAATTAATTGAGCATTCATTAATCATTACAACGTATATTACTATGCAAGCATCGAGGGGAGGAAAAAGGAGTCAAAGGTTTATCCCAATATCAGCAATGCTAGGTAAAAGAGTATTTGTCTTTCCAACCAGCGGAAAAGAAACAGAGCATCGATCCAGTCAGTATTTTTATATGCATGGTATGTGTGTGTGTGTGTGCGTGCGCATTGGAGGAGAATGTAAAAAAGATCGCTTTTGTGTAAAGGTACAAGTAAGCCATAGACAAACGGGAAAAGGGGAAGCATAAGATTTTTGAGTGTGTGCGCGCTTGATGTGGTGATACAAATGTGGGGGGGGTAGGAAAGGCGGTGTGTGGATGCATCGAATGAAGAAAAAGCGAAAGGAATCATAACGTGGTGTATAAGATGTAGTATGGAATGGATGTTTTTGTGTGTGTGTGCAAGTGAATGGCTTTTAGACAGAGGGAGAGAGAGAATCGAGAACATGTGGGAATCAATCCATGGCTGTGGATAATGAGGCTGCTGACGAGTCATCACTCACAATGCGTAGTAATCTTTGTCGTTCGCGTGTTCGAATGGCTTGGCGTCTGTTCTGGAACCAGATTTGGACTGTCCTAGGTGTCATGCCTAATTGTCGACCTAGCTCAGCCCTTAATTGAGTCGAAGGAAATACCGTACGCTCAAAGACACGATTCAACACTTGAAGCTGCTTTGCATTGGCGCGTCTTCTTTTGGCCTTGACGGGGGGCAATGATGGTGATGATGGTATGAGAGAAGATACCGGCTCCTCTTGATCGTCATCACTGCTGCTGCTGCTATGTGAGGTGCTATCTTCACGGTAATAACGTCGAGCTTGTTTTTTCAAAGGGAGTGTTCTTGTAGATGATGTGCTGCTGCTGCTACTTTCTGATACCATGTTGGTGGGCAAGCTTGTTGTGCTAGCATTTGTGGTTGTAGCCGATGTGCTATTGCTCATGTCAGATGCCACCGAGGACACCGATGATGCCATTGAATGATGCATCCAAATGCTGTTGGCTGTTGCTGATGATGATGCTGGCTCCAAAGGATGAAGTGGCTTTTGTGATGGCATGGGTGGCAACATAGGAAGTTGTTGTGCTGGCCATACATCCATAATGGATGGCAACTGACAACACCCCGATGATGCGCTCACTGGTGATTGGATAGCACTATTACTACCATTGCTGCTGCTAGGTGATAGCGTAGGCTCCAAATCTTCACCACAAAGCAAATTGGAAATATCAAGCACAGAGGGACGTGGTGGCCGAGATGGTTGTTCAGTATTGCTTGCTTGATTTAGCATGCTGTTGACGGAAAATGCAGACATGATGGTTGATTTGATATGCGTGTGTGAGTGTGTGAGTGTATAATAGATGCGTGATGCGATTTGTGTGTGGATTGGGTTTATAGGTTTGAGTGAATGGAGTGAAAGAAAGAGAGGAAGAGAAGAAGAAAGAAAGCCGTAATGAGCGAAATATAAAGGATCTGGGTCAAATGACTTGGGGGCAGTAAATGCTGATGGCATTTATAAAAAATTGTTGCATTCTCGTAACACATTCGAATGGCTCGAGCCAATGTGTCAACTGGGTGTCTTTCTCTCGGCTATTGCTCCTCCATTTTCCCCCAAAGTCCACATTGGGGGGTGGGGGACATGCTTACATTATTCATTTGCACCCCATTCTCCGATATCGACGTACCATCCAAATTGACCCATTGTGCCACAGATAGGGGTCTGGCCCATGATGACAAGCATTTGTCATGAGAAGCCATATCCAGAGCACTCCCCATATCACTGTAATATCTCATTCTGGATCAAGCCATTGATTTTTATTTTACGTAACCTTGATTGCTGCTTGCTTTATTACCACCTTGTACACTTGTCAAATCGATGCTGCATCTACATGATCGCATCTCTATAAAAGTAATAGCTCATTTTTTACGCGGGCGTACACCACCAAGCGATACTTGGACATCCTCGGATCTTGTCATCATAGCCTTCCGTGAAAAAAGTTTGTTGCTTTTACCACGCTCATTATCGATACAGTATTTTCATATGAGATGGATTACTACTACCACTACTACTATACAAGCATCAATGTCGCGATAAGCAAAACATGGGTTATGGAATAAAGGGGATCCGCAAAGCACATGTTGCATTTGACAGCATGCTTACTTGTTACTCCTCGAGTATCCCTGTTGATCCCATTACTATATTACCAACCTGCTGCTTTCATACATGCTTGAATGTTTTGTGCAGGTGGCTACTATACCCTTCTTAATCCACTTTTCGCGTCTATAAATGAGGAATAGCATCATCTTGCATCTTAGCTTTGCAGTAATGCAGGGCACAAATCACACCAGCAAAGGTTAAAGGGATCTTGTGTGACAACAGGGCTTTGGGGGAGCAGATGAAGCACACCAATTGCAAAGCTGTACGTAACGTGGACATTTTCAAACGAGAGTGTGGATGCGTGCTTTCATTCTTGGGACATTATGTGTTTATTAGATGATATGGCCTGCCATTTTCAGGATGTTTATCCAGAAACATACATTGTCACATGCTTTTCAATTTGATTTCATTAACTGAATCGACAGCTTTGGTGATAACAGGAAAACAATGGGGTAAGGTTTATGCCAAGAAAGAACGAGGTCGATGATGATGTGTCTCAGGGATCGGGATACTTGGCCGACAATGGCCGATTTACCCTATCCAGAGGTGGTATGCAGGCACACGTGTGCTTTGCACTCACACATCAGCAGGTTTAGCAATCTCATCAATAGCAGTCAGCAACATTGACATTCACAGCGCCTGCAAATGATCTATGAAAAGTAAAAGGACACATGACAACGTGTATGCATTCGGCAAGACGTAAGATTGTTCTTTTGGAACAATGGCACAATGAGACAAAAAGTGCAGAAATCAAGGTGTTTGGATTGAAAAATCCCGACTGGCCGAGTGTGCACAACACGCCACTTTTTGGATCAAGCATCGGTGTGTCGGCTGCTGCAAAGTGCATGTAATTTGATATTAGTCACTGAATTTTTTTGCTCTCACCCTGATGCCATCATCAGCTTTGGTTAATGAAATGCAATAATTCATTTGCAATAAGTAATCGGCCAACCACGTGCAAGGATGACAGCCTTCAGCGCCAATAAGAGTGTCTTGCGTGTATAGGAAGGTTATATAACCTGAGGATAATGGGCTATTCATTTCGTGTGCCGTTACACACACAAAGCTTCTTTGATTCTCTTGCTGATGATTTTCCTTTTTGGTAATGCTTCATTGTCAACTGGAAATGTGCCCACTTTTCGGCTGCAGGTCATATACAAAGGGCAACGTGGGGGTTCGTTTTTACGTTGTTGATTAGATTGGCGCCATTGTCACGGTTCAAAAAGATTTTCATTGGTGACGATCATGATCACCCCACTTTTTCCATTGTCCTGGCTTTGTGTTGCTTGCGGAGACATACCATCAGATAGCGATCACGCCGACCTTTTCAATATGAGGATGAACCAGGTTACGGCGGAGGAAATAGAGTTTTGGCATGTCATTGAATTGAGTGCCGGTAGCAACATGCCATCTACTTCATTGGAGGTGAAGAGAGAAATGACCACCACCCACCACCACAAAAGGGTGAACATGAGCAAATGCTGAGATGTGGTATGCCAAGCCAATGCTCTTTAAGCAAGGAGTTTATCGATAGGGGAATGCATGGTAATTGCTTTACATCCACCATAAAAAGGTTTGGTAGTTAATCAACCATTGTTATAGTTTTCATTGTGCAGGGATCCTTCTTGAACGCTATAAGGGCTGTCTCGCCGCCTCTAAGGTTGTATGTATCAAGCAATATTACTAGTAGCACAGTTTTTTTGTAAAGTCTAAGAGCATTTCGAGCCGTTCTTGCCATGTATGGGCACTACAAGTAATAGCATTGGAAAGGCCTCGTGAGGCCGTTTACATGTAGCAGGTTGATATCATTGTTCTATGATGGATCTGGTCAGCTGCACCAATTTGGGTATACCAATTGCCGATTTATGCATGGTCATCACCATGGCAACACCTAGGCTCTTTGTTAAAGAACCAGACTTAATCCTGGTGTTGGTTTTCCCACCGCTTTATTCAGGCTTGTAAGCCATTGTATCAAATCATGCACCTCTATCATCTCATGCATCTTCTCCAACACAAACGTTTATCACCCTTTCCATTTTGTGCATATGGCGGTTGGCATGCCCTTCCACGCAAGGAAGATGTTGTCACGCATCATTCAATCCTTTACAGAGTCTTCAAAACCCAACCTTGTATCGTGTTGATGACCCTTCTTGGCAACCCTGTGCATTAGAGCTTATCTTTGTGTTCATTCAGAGGCTTCATTGTTGCCCTAGTCTCATTAATATGGTCGTCATTATGATGTCCAATTCAAGCTTCAGATACACCGACATAAATAAACGACGCCTACTAATAGCGTTGTCTCATCCCATGTATGTATCCAGCATTTGATGTTGCCATTATATAACTTGATCCACCGAATTGCAAGATACAAGACGTTGACTAGTATGGTACCACAACAGGGAGCAACGAATGATAAGAATGATGTGAAAATGTTCACACACCTACTAGTGATTCCCAGGGATACATAAATTACATTCGAAATACATCGGCAACGGCCTTTATCATCAAGGATAAGGTGGAAGGTTTATCTCTCAATAGCTTTAATAATATTTCCTTTTCGATAAGATGCATGCATAAATGTTATTGTTGTGGCAATCTATGAAGCGGCGTTCCTTTATCCACATCCACGTGGGTAGTATGGCGTCGTTTCTCATCACACGGATTAAACTATTTGCTTTGACTACTATCATCGGGGGTTTTTATTAACTCGATACGGCGAGTGAGAAAAAGAAAATGAAGATACAACGACGGCAAAATGGAATGCTTCTATGCAGGCAACTTTCCCACGATGCAGGGACACACAGCTGTTCTCCGATAAAGCATTGAAGAGATCAAGGAACGCGTTAACCCTATATTCTGCAATGTTTTTCTGTAGAATATCGTTCGTATACCTTGTATTCTTGGTGGTGGGCCTGGTGGGCTCAGTGTTTGGGAATGGCCTTGATGCAAAGGATGGTAAGCGGAGAATCCATATACATTGCTCTTTCACCTCCACCGCCACAGCATGCTTATCCAACACTGCCTTGACGATCCTTCAGTTGAATCCTATTTCATTCCTGGTGCCAAGGTCTTTGATCGCTTCTTCGATTGCCCATTGGGTAGGGGTTGATTGTAAAGTCGCCTTGTACATTTGAACCTGACCTGTTGCATGTAGACTATAGCGATCCCGAATCGCCCAAGATTACGGTCTTTGCACGCCATCTTGTCCCAGTAGGAAAGGAGAGCCAAATGAAGACGATGCCATTCTTCCTTTATCTTCAGGTAATTATAGGGTGCAGTTGAAGGTGATGTATTACCATGGGGTATTAATATGATGCACAAAGGGAGGTCCTGGTTTTGAAGTTCCATTGCCAGGTGACGGTAACTCGGGATGGATCAAGACTGCATTCGATAACGGATATCAAGTACTGTAAGTAAATTGAGGAGGATGAATGGGGGAATGGGGTGGGGGGGGGATGGATAGACCACTCCCTTGGATCAAAGTCTCCTCTAATGTCTCATGTACCTGCATTTTTACAGTCTTTTGGATCAACGTGGTACTGGTTTATCGACCCCTGTGTCAGCTGAATCCCTTCATGCTCTTGGCGACGATCAAGATCAGCTCAACTATCTTGTGCATTTCCGAGCAGACAACATTGTACGTGATTGTGAGACCATCCGCAAGAATTTGACAGCTGGCCGATCATCCGATCTCGATAGCAAATTGACGCTTTTGGGTCAAAGCTTTGGTGGATTTTGCATCACCACTTATTTGAGTCTCTTGTAAGTACCAAGTACCAATGTTGAGGAAGCATCCCAAAATAGACCAACTCATATTATCATTATCATTGTAGCCCTGATTCTGTCAGCCACGCCTATATCACTGGAGGTGTACCACCACTCGTTAATGATCCTGAGCCAGTGTATCGATCCCTGTACCCTCGCATCTTGAAAAGGAACAAGGCTTATTACTCAAAGTACCCACGCGATGTGGAGCGTGTCCGTCAGATCCATGAGCATCTTTCCCAAAATGAAGTTACTCTTCCCAATGGGGGTCGTCTATCACCTCGTCGCTTTTTGCAATTGGGTATATTGTTTGGCCAAACCCCTGGATATGATACGTTGCATCAAATCGTGTTGTCAGCAGCAGCCGATTTGGATCGACAAGATGAGCTTAGCTACCGCACTCTTTCTCGTATCCAAGGTCTACAAGATTGGGATACCAATGTCATTTACGCTATCCTCCATGAACCTATTTATTGCCAAGATGGCCATCCTAGCAACTGGACTGCTGAGCGATTGTTATCCGAAGAGCCCTTCAAGTCTGATTTCGAGTGGCGTGCCGATAAGCTCAAGCCTGATCAGCCTGTTTACTTTACAGGAGAAACTATTTATCCATTCATGCTCGATGATTATGCTGAGCTACGACCCTTGAAAAAGGTTGCCAACATGCTTGCCGAATACAAGGGATGGGGAAAGCTCTATGATGAAGATGTGCTCGCAAAGAACAAAGTTCCTGTCGCTGGTGTCAGCTACTATGAAGACATGTTTGTCGACATTAATCTCTCCGAGGAAACAGCATCCAAGATCCAAGGATTCCAACAATGGGTCACCAACCAATATGCTCACAAGTACGTATACCCTCCTAACCTATCATCATGCTTTATTCACTCTAATAATCTTCTTTCTAGCGGTGTGCGTGTGGATGGCGAGAATGTCCTTGGTTATCTCATGAAGTTGGCTGCAGGTGATGAAGCTTACAATCGATAGAATGGATTGATACCCGAGTCGAATAAATAGAAAACGATGCGTCTTTTATTTAGCGGTTGTCATGTGATTACAATGGATGTAGCATGCTCGCGTTGTTGTATAATGATAGTCGTTAATGTTGGATTGTGCACATGTTTTCAAGAATAAAATCATCCAATATCAGTCGAAGTGGTTGCTATGCTTGATGAGACGGCGTGTTTATTACATCTATTGGACCAGTCGTGTATGATTCTAATCCTCGTAGCCAGCAGGGGGGTTGCGAGCTTGGTTGGGGACTATGGAGATGGTGTGACAAAGAAGTTCGTTAGCTGGTACTCTCATGGATACCGCCACGAAAACTACGCGACACGAATAAATATAGAGTACATACGAGGGTAAGTGATTGGCAATGGAGGAACACCCTTGTAGCCAAAGTATTCGCGACGGATCTTGGGGACTGTCCAGACCATAACAGGGCCTGTGTATGTAGAGAATGGTGAGTGGCATTGTAATCATGGAGAGGCAAGCAAAGGGGGAGAGTCGCATGAGGTTCAAAGTGTAATGTACGCACCAACAGCACCAATGAGGCAGGACCAAAAGATGACGGGCTTCTCGATGGCGAATTTGCGCAACATGGTATGAATCGCTAAAGGGAGAACTGTGTGTCGGGCAGCGATTGTGTGTAAGGAAATGAGCCCCTTCACTCAGCCATAAACAACCGTATGACGTCGCTCTTTTGCGGTTTTTGAAAGGTCTCCAACGCTCTCATTTTGGCGGATACAAAGAGGCCCATCATGCAGGACATTATTTCTCTCTTTATCTTTCTTCTTTTTCCTTTGTACTCTTAACATCATATATACCCACATCATTCAATCATATAAAAATGGTCTTGCATTTACCCATTACAAACGATACCACCGACAACCATTCATCCAATACAGCACATGCATCATTTACCAATACAAAAAAGAAAACCTCGAGAAAAGTACGCTTTGCAGAGGATACTTCATCCAATCAGGTATGGATTTCCTTTCTTCGTATATGTATGCGAGCATTTCTCCACACGCTTGTACACACACATGTATATCCAATCCCCTGATATTTCGAGGGGATGATCGATCTAAACTCTCTTTTGGTGTTGCTATTATAGAGGACAGAGCAATGGCTCCAAGAATTGTGTACTATTGAATCGGCTATTGAAGACGACTTGCTACAATGCGACTTTGATGAGCTGAACGAAAAAACTGAAGAGGCACATGCCATGATGGAGATGATACTCAGCACTCAAAAGAAGATTTGTGATGACAACATGCGTCAAGGTACTATGACGTAGCTAGGAGGATCATTGTCATGTACTCATCCCTATCTTTCTATTTCTCTCCCCTGTTCTCCGTGGTTACTTTATTCGACATTCAATAGCCGCCATGTGGCAAGAAAAATTAGATGCGTTGGAGAATAGCAAGCCATCCATAGCAACACAAAGCATACTCGAATCGTTGGCAGCCATGGCAACTCGAATCAACAACAATAATGTATCATGCGACAGGTATGTTACATATGCACCAGCAGGATGGGTGGAACATTCTTCTCTTGATGGATTGCCCATATGGGGAAGTACCTTAAGCCTATACTCACATCATGGCATAATCGGCTGCTCCTCCTACTTGTTGTAGTCATTATTCATTCACACTCAACCCCTCCTCGGTCGAGACTCCATCTTTTATGCAAGAACAACAACATCCCACTATTATGCATCGTCGGACGAATAATGCGGAAAGTGAAATGAGCACGATGGCAGACATTAGCAACAAGTAGGTATATTATTTATACCGACGACTTCAACCTCCTCCTCCTCTTCTCCTAATATACAATTTGCTCACGTAACGATACCTAGAACCAATATGGAATGCATCATGATCGGCGTATCGGACAATGGGGGGAATACGATAAATCAAACCAGTATTTCAGAAAGGATACTCCATCCATGCAGGTACCAGATCGCATCCCATGAGGCAATTACCATATATTGACATGATTAACGTTTAGGAGCCAGAGCTTTGACAAGCTCGATGTCATCCTTCAGCATCCACCACAAAAGGCTGCCACAGATTAGTCGTGAAGTTATCTCGCACACCTGCTACTTTAGTAGTAATGTTGATTGGTCACCTACTACGTACTTCATATCTTCCTTATTAGACATCTTTTGTATCAACGCAACGCATGCTACATTTTATCATGAAACCCACCTGTTAATACTCAACTATACTACCATTCATAAGAAAACATGCATACCAATAAAAATGATATCATTGCTACATTGGGTGTAATGGTTGTTATTTAGATTTAGCACGCAATGGCACCATGCTTGCTTATGTGCATGATAGCAGATGACACGACGAGTCATCACTGATGCTCTCTATCATCATCATTGCCATCCAACCAATGTCTTTCCCAAATGGCTTTGATGGAGAGTGACGTACATCATCATCAATCAACGTGCAATTTTACTTTTCTCCTCCCCTCAAAACGACACTTTCCTCCACTGGGGCGAATGTATGAATGTCTCATCATTGTTTGTATATGAAAGAATTCAATGCTTGATTCGGCAAGTTAAGCGTAATTAACGATTTGGCCGTTAAAGTGTAGTAGGACGTATTTAAGCTTGAGAATTGACGTAAGATTTGCTTGGTTAATGCTTGCATGGATGCTTTTATCTTTGTGTGTAACCTAAATAGCGGGATGCATTCCGATCCAAACATGAGTGAGCAAGATCTAGTTGTAGCCAATCATATCACCGATCTACCTGACATGTCAGAATGCGTTAAGCCACGAGAGCCCATTATAGATTGACACCACCTCTTTGACCCCGCACTCTCTTTATTTCTTTCTTCTCCCCACTCTTTCGCTTGCAATGGCATCAAAACTTCTCACAAGAGCAACACCTCTTCAAAGCACTGCATTGTATGTTATCATTCAACGACGCGTCTGGTTCTCTTTTGTTTCTAATTGTGTCTCATTTTACTCTCCAGTCGCCATGCCAAGACAGCACTTCCCATTGGACTAAGACATTACGCTTCTGGCAAGAAGGTCCCTGTCAACCAATACAGTGCCAACATTACTCAACCCAAGAGTCAAGGTGCTTCCCAAGCCATGTGTAAGTACTTTGCTTCCTTTGCTATAAGAATGGAGGTGGGGGTGTATATCGGATATGCACAATGACCAGGATGCTGATGGAGTGTTCTTGTATAGTGTACGGCACTGGTTTGACAGAAGATGATATGAATAAGGGCCAAGTCGGTATTTCAAGCGTGTAAGTAGTCGATATGAGTCAACGTTCAAGATGGCCAATGCCCGCTTCGTTCTGGGTCTAATGATTGGCTCGTTATTTAGCTGGTACGAGGGCAATCCGTGCAACATGCATTTGATGGATCTTGCTGCCAAGGTCAAGGAGGGCGTTGAAAAGGCTGGTTTGATTGGTTATCGCTTCAACACGATTGGTGTCAGTGATGGCATGTCCAATGGCACTGCTGGTATGAGTTATTCGCTCCAATCACGTGATATCATTGCCGATAGTATTGAAACTGTAAGTATGCTGCAGACAAGGAGATGTGTGGAAAAGATGCTCATACAACGTATCATATTAGGTCATGTGCGGTCAATGGTACGATGCCAACATTTCTCTTCCTGGTTGTGACAAGAACATGCCAGGTTGTTTGATGGCCATGGGTCGTGTCAATCGTCCTTCGCTTATGGTGTACGGTGGTACTATCAAACCCGGCAAAGGCTGTGGCGGTGAGACTCTCGATATTGTTTCAGCTTTCCAGGCCTATGGTCAATATGTGTCAGGCGAGATAGATGAGACCAAGCGCTTCGACATTATCCGTAACGCATGCCCTGGTCCTGGTGCTTGTGGTGGTAGTAAGTAAAATGATTGGATTCATTTGGGCCATGATACATGTGACCTAACAGCATCCTTTTTCTCCTCCCCCAATAGTGTACACTGCCAACACAAGTAAGTATTTGTGATACAAGCAATGATGGGAAAAGGAATGCATGAATTAACATATGATTGATAGTGGCATCTGCTGCCGAAGCCATGGGTATGACTTTGCCTTACAGCTCTTCCACCCCTGCTATCTACCCTGAAAAGCTCCAAGAATGTCTTGATGCTGGCAAGGCGATCCGCAACTTGATGGAGAACGACATCAAGCCTCGTGATATCATGACTCGTGACGCTTTCGAAAACGCTATGGTGTTGACTATGGCTCTCGGTGGATCCACTAATGTCGTCTTGCATTTGATTGCCATTGCTCGCAGTGTTGGTATCAATTTGACTTTGGATGACTTCCAGGCTGCTAGTGATCGCACTCCTTTCATTGCCAACTTGAAGCCAAGGTATGTTATAGAAGGAACAATGATATGAGATGGTTTAGTAACCTGGTAGTATAGTGGTACATACGTCATGGAAGATGTTCATCGTATTGGTGGTGTTCCTGCTATCCTCAAGTACTTGATGGAAGAAAAGATGATCAATGGTGATGTTTTGACTGTTACTGGAAAGTCGCTTGCCGAGAACTTGCATGGTTTGCCTGGTTTGCCACAAGGACAAGATGTTATTCGTCCTCTTTCCAATCCCATCAAGTCAAGTGGTCACATTCAAATCTTGCGTGGTAACCTTGCTCCTGAAGGCTCTGTGGCCAAGATCACTGGCAAGGAAGGTCTTGAATTCCGTGGAAAGGCTCGTGTCTTTGAAGGCGAGGAGTCATTCATTGCTGCTCTTGAGAACCATGAATTCAAGAAGGGTGAAAAGACTGTCATCATCATCCGTGGTGAAGGTCCCAAGGGTGGTCCTGGCATGCCTGAAATGCGTAAGTTGGAAGCACAATCTAATCTTTCAATGACACGATGCTGAGATTTTTACCTATAGTTAAGCCTACCAGTGCTATCATGGGTGCCGGTCTCGGTAACGATGTAGCCATGTTGACCGACGGTCGTTTCTCTGGTGGCTCTCACGTAAGTTTGGCATTGTATGCAAAAAAAGATTGGTGGTGTGCTTACATGTATGATTTATAGGGTTTCATTGTTGGCCATGTTACCCCTGAAGCTCAAGTGGGTGGTCCCATTGGTTTGGTAAAGGATGGTGATATGATCTCGATTGATGCTATTTCCCGCGAGATGAACGTTGAGATCTCAGACGATGAGATGGCCAAGCGTAAGGCTGAATTTGTTGCTCCTCCTCCAAAGTACACCCGTGGTACCTTGGCACGCTACACTATGACCGTCAAGAGTGCAAGTGAAGGTGCCGTCACTGACGAGTTGTAAATGTTATTTCCCATGATTGTATTTAATCTTCTCCTACTTGACATATTTCCTTCCTTCCTTGTTATCCATCACCTTCCACCATTTCCTCCTTCAAAAGCGAATTAAAAGTACATAAAGTGCAACAATGATAGAATCAGAAACATCCGCATGTTGTTTTATTGGGATTTTCCCTAGTGATTGCCCCTTGGACGATTATCACAATGACCACCGCCACAATGAAAAATAGAATGATGAATGTCCATTATGGTCCGTAAGTACCAGCTCAAACGCATGGGATTACAAGAAATCACATACACCACAAAGAGCTTGTAAACCAATCAACGTGATTAATCAGAGGAAATAGATGCGTGATAGTGATCACCACCCTTCTTATAATATGTACATGGGCGTGTGGATGGATTCTGTGCTCACAAAGAAATGGGGAGATGGTGCATGAATCGACAACGTGGCAGTGGGCCAATCCAGGAACAAGCCTCTCTCTCTAAGGAAGAGCCTAGGTATGGTAATTGTCCATGTAAAATAATCGGCAGCTGACATAACCAATTAAAGGCAGTTGGCAATATCCATCTCCAAATAATGACGTTGGTGTGCTATCGCTGTACATCTTTCCAAGTCGTGTATCGCTTGTTGTGCCCATATGGTCGCTGTTATCATAAAAGAGACTTGACATTGTTAGCCTACCTGTTATACTTTTCATCGTGGCATGCGTGTTTGTCATCTATGCATTTAAAACACTAAGCACCAATGATGATCCAATTACATTGACAAACCACTTGGCATCATTTGTTGGCAACATGCTGGGTTGGCTACTACTATGAAGCATGCGGTTGAATACTTTGAATAAAAAGCTGCTTTCTCGCCTCTGTTTTTTCTAAGATGCATCATAGGAAAAGTATGCATTACACCAAGTAAATATCACTCTCGGCCACCCCAAAGTGAAACGCAGCCAACGTAACCATCTCCAAGTGTCAAATCGATATGAATGACACGCCAAGTGAGAAGCAGCAAGCGTCAAACCTTAGGAAAAATCCAATACTTGTTATGCATTGAAAGCATCCACATACTGCAGCATCATGCAGATCAATGCTCTGTAAACCCCCGGGTCGCTGAATCAAAAGACTGCATGTTGTGTGCCCATTTCGGACAAGGAATGCCCGAATCCATAGGTCCCTTCATACAAAAAGGATGGAAGAGCCTTCTTACACCTCTTTCTTTTTTCCTACATTTCCCTTTTACTTTCTTCCTGGTGACACATGAGCGAATCACGAAACGAACTCCTTGCATGGATTAATGATCTATTGCAACTCAACTACCGCAAGGTTGAGCAAGCTGGCACAGGTTGGTTTGGCACACACACACGTATCCTTTCCCACAAGAGACGCCTTTAACTAATCTTTTTATTTGTACGAAGGTGCTGCATATTGTCAAATCATCGATTCCATCTACGGTATGAAAGGGGGAAGGATGCTGCGGTGTTTTGTGTCCTCGTGTGCTACGATGGGCTGCATCTACGCGTATCATCAGAAGCAAAAGACTAACTCGCATTAGGTGATGTACACATGAGCAAGGTCAAGTTTGACACCAAGCACGAGTACGAATACGTTGGCAATTACAAGGTGTTGCAAAATGCATTTGACAAGCACAAGTGAGTACAGCATAATGTTGTGCATTGTCAATAGTCAACAACAGTCTAACGGAAAAATGGATACACCCCTACTTAGGATTGATAAGGTATGTGTAGTTTTTCGTATCATTTTACACGACAACTTCCTGGTGCAACAATGAACGCGTATGATGCTTGTTATGTAGGTGATACCCGTGGATCGGTTGATGAAATGCAAACTTCAAGACAATCTCGAGTTTACGCAATGGCTCAAGCGGTATTGGGATCAAACCTATCCTGGTGGTGATTATGATGCTCTTCAACGGCGTAAAGGTGGTGCTGGAGGAGGAGGAGGTAGAGCAAGTAGCCGATCAGGTACTGCAGCCCCTGCTGGTGCTACACGTAAAGCTCTTGGTTCCCCTGGTACGTCGGCTTAGCTTTCCTTAGATCCGATTTTGAACAACCCCCGCATTTCAAAGCTGGATGAAACACTTGTACTGATATTGACATTGACACGTTATACAAATAGCCAAAGCTGGTGCCACTGCTCGATCCTCAAGCAGAAATGGTGGAGGTGTTGGCTCAATGGATGGTGCCGCCGCTGCTTCAACCATCGCCGATTTGAAAAAGCAAGTCTCTGAACTAAAGTTGGCAGTGGATGGTCTTGAAAAAGAACGCGACTTTTACTTTGGCAAATTGCGTCAAGTTGAAATTCTGGTCCAAGAGCAAATGGGTGTTTTGGAGCAACAAGGTCGTTCAGATGAGGGTTTGGCTGTTCTAAGAGACATCCAAAATGTGCTTTATAGTACTGAGGTATGATAAATAACAATTCTCAAGGGATTGGGCGTTTATATGTACATCTTTGTGTAGGATGGTTTTGAGGCGCCGCCTGAGGATCATGAAGGTGTTGCCCCAGCAGCAGGCATGGTGGGAGGTGTTCATCAAGACTTTGACGACGAGACGTTTTAACTACTACTACGATCCTTTTCATATTTGTCTTGGCAGTTTTTCCCATCTCTTACATTTTCCAGCACATTCACATTCACACATAGCACATGCATTTGGCTCAAAATTATAAAACATGACATGTTTACTGATACAACTCTTGATTAAATGGGGTACCAAACAAGAAGTCCCAGCTTGGAGGTGGTGTCCATGATCCTATAAAGACAACAGCTGTTAGAGAAAACGTTGCTCCCCTGTCTTCTTTTCCATTCCCATTTTTACCTTGGTCCGCTCGTAACTGAAATAGAGTATTAAACATGTTGGTAAAGAGAACGGCATCATTAACGTTATCTACATGACACATTAGACATCATACGTACATCCAATTCGTCTTCATTCAACCTACCGCCTTCCAGGGCAAACATGATCATCATAGTTGTGTTGATGTGGGCTTCTTTGAGTGCACTAAAGAAGGGAACTCCCATGCCTGTGCCATGTACATCCTTTTCATCTGTGTCCAATCTTGGGATACCAATATCTTGCGCCTTTTGGAGAATAGCATCCTCGGTGCCCACCACACGAAATGGTACACTGGTGATTTGAGCATCGGTTCGAAGACTTGCATCGGCACTGGTCAACACCATCACATGATCGAACTTGTACTTTTGCACAAATGCCACCAGATCTTTGATGTATCCTCGTCGTTTGCCCTTCAAATCCGTCAATGCTTCATTGTCATGGTCATTTGTCTATCCCCTTATTTTACCTTGTATGTAGGTGCACGTTGTTGAATCATTGTCCATCGTCGATCACTTGACTGATATACTGCATTAATATGTTTAGCATACATGACCCACCGTACATGAAACGCAAGCTTACCTTCTACAGCAACAGCAACACCAGGACCTTGTACCCCTTCTCTCTTGCCGGCTACGGACATGACGGCATCATTATTGATAAAACCAACTCGTTCCAGACCCAAGGTGTGCACGAATAAGTCGCATGTGAGTTGTGGGACGTTGCCGATCGACACTGAAGGCTTGAAAGGAAATAGACTCGTGTTAGCTTGACCAAGAAACGAGGTAACATGCAAGCCATGCGAAACAAACCAAAACTAATGTTGACCCAGCGAGTTGCTCTGTATTAAAAGAAGACGCTGGTACAAAGGTGTCCATGGGCGAGAATTGGGCTGTGTGGAAACGAAGAGGAAAGACGCGTATCGAGCTGACGAGGCCCACCAACCTGCCAAAATCAGTGTGTGTCACCATTGCTTTTGCAAGTTCCCGCCCTGTGACAAATGCTTCTCTGTCAACCTCTCCTTTTATCCCATTCACGACATCCCCATCAAGGTAATGTATTATAAAAGAGTGCTCTTGTTGATTGTGAGGTATTGATATAGTTCTGAACATGCATAGGCAGGGAGCAAATGTACCCCAAGTACTATGGAATGAGCGTAGTGGGCTGGTTGGCGGTTGGCTGTTGCCATGGCGATATCGTTGCTTCCTCTTGTTCGTTGCTATTCCCGCTCTACGCTTGATGTCAACAGGTACATTCACAGTCCAATGTTGCAGCCGAACTTGTTCCATTGACGTGTTAGCTTGCATAGAGGGCAAGTTGGTCTCAATACGTTGGCTGGTTTTGTTTGGCGTTTTGTTTCGGCTCAACTACACTACTACACCATGGCTTTCGGTTTCCAGTAACCAACAAAGGGGTTCTTGTGTGTATGGAAAAGGCAAGTGCAATGAAACAAACAATGAAAAGAGGCGTTTTATTGTACGTGTGTGCTAATAATGAACTGAATAGGTTTCTTTACAGGCAATGCAACTTGGGGGCATCATCATCATCTCTTTGGGTTCAAGTCCCAGCCTGTATCAAGTGGTCGCTGCGTCGCTCTGCACTAGCCAAGTGTGCTGGAAAAGTTTCCTGGAACGCGTCCAGGACTCTATAGGCCTGCGTTTGAGTTGATGGTCGACGACGATGGGTTTTTGGAAGAGCATGGTCAACGTGTTGAGGTAAAAGGGGATTTGCAACAGCTTGTGAATGTGTTTAACCAACACGCTCTTCTCGTGATAGGCTCGTTCTTTCCCTTGAGGATTTCTTTTCATGAGGTGAGAAATAATTGGAAGGATTGGGGATCATTCTTTCTTTGGAGAGGATGAATGAGGAAAACCATGAGCCTGGACTCTACGTAAGTGATGTCCTCCCTTGCCATGGATCGAGCTGGCATTGCGTGATTCGTGCAGTGCTTTCTCAAGAACAAGGGATCGTCCGACGTTGCTCGTATGGTGGTGATTTGGTTTGTGAATTCCTTCTGATTTGCTTTCTTCCTTGGGGAGAATCGCCTAGCGGTATACCAAATCGTCATCATTTCCGGTATCAGATGGTCTAACTTGCTTGCTTTCTTATTTATAGAGACGAAGATTACGATGATTACCACATACACAACAATGGCGATTACGATGATCACCTCATCCACAACAATGACGATTACGATGATCACCTCATCCACAACAATGACAATGAAAATGACAACGAGATTCAAAAGGAAGCCTGCAAGATCCCATTCTTTTCAACCTGTGTATTTTTGGATGTTGGTGACGGATGAGATTGACGACTGGTGATGAGTACGAGTACGAATGATGATGGAGGACGACTACGACGATAGTGGTGGCAATGTACAGTAGCAAGATAGCTAGATGAAATAAAGCATTGTTTATTCATTACACGCTTGTTGGAGGTTGCTAGCTTGTGGATTACATACTATTGCTTCGAAGATGGAATAATAAAGGTGGTCCGGTTATCGGTCATGCAAGAAGTATATGGCTTTTGTGATACAATAAGGAGGAGTGGGAAGTGGGATGAGCTTGAGAAGAGAAAAAGTGAAGAGACCCCTCCATTGAGTTTCAGGATGAGTGACCCATTCAATATGTATACGTATCTTTTTACATATGCAAATTGGTTTATGCAGCTCGACCTTCTCCTACATGCAAATGTGATACATACCTTGACACACCTTCATGGTTGGATGCTGTTTTACTTACGTACCTTCACAAAAGGCAATCATCATCATCATCCATTTGTGTAGCAACCTGTCAAGGACGTGTCTGTGTAACCACCAGATGTCGTTTCACTCAGCTCTTCATCTTTCCGTTAATGCTGCCTACACCATCCACTAGGAAAAAGCAACTCCATCACGCTTACAGCATAGGTAAGCCATAAACGTGCCTGTATCTCCAAACTTTACAATGAAACGTGGGGTCCTTGATAGAACAAAGTGCTCGGCTTGGCCAACAGCACCTTGTGTGCAAGTTTCGCGTTCAATGTCGCAACCAACCCAAAAAATATTTTTTCTTTGGTCGTCGTCGAAAAAAATTCAAGAGGTCGACCCCAAGATCCAGTTTGGCTGGTGGCGACATTGCGAAATCTGGGATTGGCAAGCTTGATCGTGAAACTTTCACACAAGGTGCTGTTGGCCAAGCCGAGCCCATTGCTCTAATAAAAACCCCACGTTTGATTGTAAAGTTTAGAGATACATGCACCTTTATGTTTGTAAGCGTGATGCTATATGAGAAGTGGTCTTTGTTCATTATCAAATAGGTGGACCCTGGCAGAGCCAAAGATGCAGAAGGACCTCTTTGGGTAACTCAGCTAAAAAGTCAGGACTTCAGGGACAATGCATGAAAGGTACGCAACCCTCACTTTTATGTCATACATTGCTAGCTAACGGCCACTTTTATCCAATCATCATTGTTACGAGATCCACTGCATGGGAACGATGCCCCTGCTCCAGACATTCATTTCCATGATTAAAGTAGGTTGATCCGAGCTGATTTGGCTGAGCTACGGTCAAAGAGAGATTACATCAATCCATACATCAGCATACGTGCGAATGTCTCAGCTGATTAATCCTTGTTCGACCGTAACTCAACCAAATCAGCTCGGATCAAGCTACTTGAATCATGGAAATGAATGTCTGGAGCAGGAGAATCGTCCACCTACAATGGAATGCACAAAAGTTGTGAATGCACAAAAGTGGCTATTAGCTGCCAATGTATGACCTGAAAATGAGGGTTGCGTACCTGTCATGCATGGTCCCTGAAGTCCAAACTTTTTAACCCAGTTACACAAACACGTCCCTCTGCATCGTTTGCTCTCCAGGGTCTAGCTACTTGACAATGAACAAAGACCACTTGTCATATAGCATCACGCTTACAAACATAAAGGTGCCTGTATCTCCAAACTTTACAATGAAACGTGGGGTTTTTATTAGAGCAATGGGCTCGGCTTGGCCAACAGCACCTTGTGTGAAAGTTTCGCGTTCAATGTCGCGAACAGCCCAAAAAGTATTTTTTGGTCGTCGAAAAAAGTTTCAAGAGGTCGACTCGTTTCACTTTGGCTGGTAGCGACATTGCGAAATCTGGGATTGGCAAGCTCGATCGTGAAACTGGCACCCAAGGTGCAGTTGGCCAAGCCGAGCACAATGCTCTAATAAAAACCCCACGTTTCATTGTAAAGTTTGGAGATACAGGCACCTTTGTGTTTGTAAGCGTGATGCTATATGACAAGTGGTCTTTGTTTAATGTAAAGTAGTATGACTATAATAGAGCAAAAGATGCAGAGGGTCGTGTTGTGTAACACAGCTACGTTTGCATGAATGAAAGGGTCAATGTATAATTACTTTATGGGTCATCTAGGAACAGGCATGTATTGCTAGCTAACGGCCACTTTTATCCAATCATCATTGCTCCGAGATCCACTGCATGGGAACGATGCCCCTGCTCCAGACATTCATTTCCATGATTAAAGTAGGTTGATCCGAGCTGATTTGACTGAGCTACGGTCAAAGAGAGATTACATCACTCTGGACATAGAGTACGCTCGATGTAGCTGAACCGATGTAATCTTGTGTGAGCGTAACTCAACCAAATCAGCTCGGATCAACCTACTTTGGTGGAGCAGGAGCATCGTCCACCTACAATAGAATGCACAAAAGTTGGGAACGCACAAAAGTGGCTATTGGCTGCCAATGTATGACATAAAAGTGAGGGTTGCGTACCTTTCGCCATTGTCCTGAAGTCCTGACTTGCTGAGTTACCCAAAGAGGTCCTTCTGCATATTTTGCTCTGCCGGAGTCCACCTATTTGATAATGAACAAAGACCACTTCTCATATAACATCACGCTTACAAACATAAAGGTGCCTGTATCCCCAAACTTTACAATGAAACGTGGGGGTCTTTGATAGAACAATGTGCTCGGCTTGGCCAACTGCACCTTGTGTGTAAGTTTCACGATCAAGCATGATCCAGATCTACCATAATGTCGCCACCAGCCAAACTGGATCTGAGGGTCGACCTCTTGAAACTTTCTTCGACGACCAAAAATATTTTTTGGGCTGTTTGCGACATTGAACGTGAAACTTTCACACAAGGTGCGTGGCCAAGCCGAGCACATTGCTCTATTCAAGACCCCACGTTTCATTGTGAAATCTTGAGATATGACTGTCTTTATGTTTTCACTATGCTGTAAGTGTGATGCTATATGAAGATTGGTCTTTTTGTTCATTGTCAAGTGGGTGGACCTGGCAGAGCAAGATGCAGAGGGACCTCTTTTTGTGTAACACAACCGGTTTTGCATGATTGGAAGCGCCGACATGATACCTCCGAACCATTCAGCACCAGCTCATCATTGGCAGTTAATAGCCTCTTCCTCCCATTCGCCTTTGTTGCCAAACCAATGCATGCTGAACGATTGTGCTGCTCCAACCCATCATGTCCATCCTTCAACTTCCTTGATCCGGGCTTCAGATTTCACTGAACAATGCTCAAACAAAGAAATATCATCCAACTTCAAAAAAGAATCAGTTGATTAGTTATTCGTAAACTGCCACTTACGATATTCCCTTCCTCCCTTTCATCATTGTTGCCCAAACTAATGCATGTGAATGGTTTTCCTGCTCAGTCAACATTCTCATCCTTCAACTTTCTTGATCCCAGAGCGGTTGACTGTGCAGCGCTTTAACAAAGAAACGTCACCCAAGCATCGAAAAATCTATTTAATTTCAAGGTCTTCCACTCCCTGTTTCTTGCCTCTTTCTCCCATTCTCACTGCTGGTGCATTCAAGCACAACTACCTGCGAACGATTGTCCTGCTTCAACCCATCACGTCCGTCCTACG